TTTTTTTTTTTTTTTTTTTTTTTTTTTGGTACCGGGGATTGAACTCGAGTCTTTGAGCTTGCAAGGCAGGCCACCGAACCACTGAGCTAAATCCCCGGCCTGTCGTTGGAAATTATTGAGTATTCAGAGGATGCCAGCTAGCTTCATGGACACCTGTACGATTGGAAGACCAAGGCTGAGCATTCAAAGCAGGGAATTCTGTGCCCAGCATTTTTTCTTCCCACTCTGCTGGAAAAGGCTGCCTGGAGATCAGAGGAAAGCTGAGTTCTGATGAGTGTTCCACTCAGGATTTGAAGCCCAGATTCTTTAATCTCGCTGAATGTCAGGTGCAAGTCTGGCCCTGGGTACCCTAAGCTAGAACGGCCTTTTGATGAAACTTCATGGTTGCATGATTCCGCATCTGTAAGACCTTCCCACAATCCTGGCCATGGACTGGGCATTATAAATAACAGTAATGACAGCAGTCACAAAGCACAAAGCAGCCTCCATGCAGTGAAAAGCTACTATGTGTCTAGCACTGCACAGGAAACATACCTATACTGTCCCTAATCCTTATAACCACCATCCTGCGACAGTCCCACTTATATTATGTTGAAGGAACTGAGGATCAGAGAGGCAAAGCAACACACTCGGTCACACTGATAAGTGACAGAACAAAGGTTCAAACTCAGCCTGTTGTCCCTTGAATATCCACACTGCACCACTTTTTGGCATTGCCTTGTGAAAGTACAAATCCCCAAACCAGAAGCAAGTGCTACAAAGAGACCACGAGTGCAGGGAGAACTACTACTGCCCCTCCAAGGCACAGTCAAAGGGCCTGATACCATGGGTGGTGGGAGGAGCAGGAGAAGGTTGCCAAAGCAGTGGACAATATGAGCAGACAGACTGGAGAGACCTGGGATATTCCCAGGCAACATAGGCCTGGATGGATTAAAAGGACAGACGGTGATTCAGTACCACCCAGAATGAGCTGGGAGCCCATTCTCCAGTCCCAGAGGACACCAGCTAGGAGGCTTGGGGCTTTCATAGGCCCAGACATGCACTCTGGAAGCATCTGAACAGAAGCCAGGTAGGCAGCCCGCTCCTTTTGGTCTTTAAGCCTGATGTCTAGCAGACACGTATTTTCTGGTCTCTAAAGGGATCCAGGTGACATTGGCTTGACCACTCAACCCCTCCAGCTTGTCCTGCCTCAGCAACCCCACCTGGATCTGCAGTGCCAGCTGCTCTGTCCAAAGGCATTCCCATCTTACTGTGCAGGTGAGAGCCAGGTTAAGAAAGGAGACACACTTTGGGAGGATGCACACAAAGCACACACTGGCAGGAATGGGCCTGGACGCCCTTCTCTCATGTGAGTCCCAGGATTTTTTCTCCCACTTCATTCAGCCTCATCTAAGAATCTCACATCTAAGACCATGTTCCAGAGATCAGAAGGAAGTCTTCGTTTGGAAAGGGCCACCTCTCAACCCTATCCACATTTGCTATAGAAGCTGAATAATAATAATTGCTAATGATCATACAATGTACTTATTGTGGGCCAAGAATGGGTCCAAACATTCCACGCATGTGAACTTCTTTAATGCCCACAGGAGCTCTAGGAGGTGGGTACGATTTTCCCATTTCCAGACAAGAAAACTGAAAAATCAGTAGTTGCAGTGGCCTTGCAGAGCTTGTGCATTTAACCAATCATGTCGCCCCTCAAGGAGACAGGGAATGCCCATCCCTGGCCCTATATGGAGCTGGTGTCAATGGCCAAGGTGGTGGGGGGCTGCATCACACTGTACAATCAACGTAAGTCCAGAGTATACTGACTAATGCTTCCAAATAAACAGAAACCTGCAAAGTAGCATTTCGAATAAAAACTAAAAATGTATTTGTATTCATACAACTCCTAATATATTGTGTTGTGATCAAACCATAAAGTCACATGTGTTGGTCAATCAGGAAGAGATCAATGAGTCATATTTGACCTTGGCTTTAAATCTGCTGTTCATCAACTATGTGCAGCGAAGGCCACCAGTTTGGATCGGGCCACATCTTGGTGGAGATGTCCACATCCTCTTCAGAATGCCTTTCTGGCATTGCTCACTCTGGTCCAGAAAATTTCACAGCAATGAATAGGAGGCAGGAGTCGTCTGAGCTGGGCAGTAGAGCTGAAGACTGTGTAAGTGGGAAATTATTAAAGTAACCACATCATCATCAATAATGATATCAATAGTTGACACTTATTGAAATCCTGCCATGAATGATACCTTGTTAAGCATTTTCACAGTTCTGAGCAGAAAAGTAGCTGGATGCGAGGCCACATATCCAGAAGGTGACGAGGTAAGTTTGTAATCAGACATGGGGCTGCAGAGTCTGCTCTCAACGCGAGCACAGTGCTAGCCTCGTGTTTGATTGACTGCAGATTTAAGCACAAATACATACAGCGAGCTATGGGAACCCCAAGCTATGGTTCTAATGTCAGATTTGAGGCCTTCCTTAGCAAGGGGATAGCCACTGTGCAGGTAGAACCAGTTTTTTCTTGCTTTGATTTGCTTATGAGATCCGCTGACCAATCACCTTATGGATGTCCTGTTCCCCTCCCTCGTGCTCCATCTCTGAATTATATCCTCTCCTTGTAGCAGGGGCCTTGGGACCCTTTAATCAAATATCTTGACCTTTGCACCTGCTGATTCTCGAAGTCCAGTGTATGCCTCGAGCCCAGCTCAGAGTTGTAGCTTTGCTTGTGAGCCTAGAGGTTATGTTCCTTGTGGGTTGGTGTTCAGAGGCATGCCTGCCTCTCCAGCCAAAAATCTCTGCCAATATCTGAAATCCATATTCTGTGTCAGCAATAGGTGAATGACAAGAAAGCAGCACATATGATTGACTCGTATTTTTTAAAAATATCTCTCACTAATCCATGCCACTTCCTGAATTTGGTAACTGGTCTTCAAAGGTGGCTCCTAATGTGCCATGACACCTTCCATCCACACCTGTGTGTAGCTGCCTCCTGCTCTGAGTCAGAACTTGCCCTGTGACCCACTAGAGCCAACAGAATGTGATAGAAGCAACTCTACTTTGGCTCAAGGCTACTTTAAGAAGATTTAATACCTTCTTCTTTTATGGGCCTGAGAGTCCTGAGCTGCCATGTACAATGTCTACTTCCTGTATGACACAGGCCATCCAGAAAGGCCTTGTGTAGTGGCCCCTTAGAGAGGAGAAGGCCTTAGGAGGTCTGAGGCCCTAATTAAGCTGTCCCAACCGGCCTGTGGATGCTCATTCTCGGAGGTATGGTGGGCCAAAAATCACCTTGGATGATCCAACTTCATCCCACAGAACAGAGACCACCATTCCCACTGTGCCTGGGCTATACCCTTGGCCAGCAGGACGTGAGTAACATAGCTGATGTCTTAAGCCTCTAAGCTTTAGGGTAATTTCTTATGGCAACACAGATAATAGAAATCCTGCATAACACAATATACTGCCAGTAATTTCATCACAGTGTAAAATCTTGACTCTTTAACCTTTTCATCCCTTGGCTTGTGGCTTCACAAGGACAGAGGAGGTAACCCAGGTTTGCCCATCCCAGCCACCACCTCAGTGAAATCAGGAAAATATGTGAGGTTTTGCTTACCATACCCAAGTTGTAATTATAGAGATACACAGTTGCTTGAATTTATTTCTTCTATGAACCCAGAAGTTGCCTGAGTGGGGGAGCCAAGGGAAATGTGTATTTTACTTCCTCCCCTTTAGCCAAGGGTCTGTTCTAGGGCACAGTGGGCTTTGAGCAATGTATTTTTGAATGTACAAATGACTTGATGAAAAGTTTAGATTGGCATGAAGTTCAGAGGAGCGGACTGAGCATGCAGGAACATGCAGACTGAGAAATTGTTTGTTTGCTGGGCTGAGGAGTTTGAACTTGATCTTGGAGTGAGTGAATGAACAGATGAACGAAGTGGCTTAAATTTCACTATTTGCCACAGTTAATCCACGAAATCAATGCGACTGCATAATCCAGCTAGTTGTGCAAGGTCCCCAAGGTAATTAGTTTCATGGCACACCGCCAGGTAGTCTCATTTTCCCTCTTCGTGCATTTCTAGCATTCTTGGAAATATTTGAAATAGAAAATTAGTACTCTGAATGTTTTATTTCTTTAAAACTCCAGTTGGTTTTACTTAAATAAAAAAATTCACAGGAATATGTTGCTCTTGGTTGAACTTGAGTAATTCATTGAGTAATTCATTGCCAGTGCCAGCGATGCGAATGGGTGTCATGAGGTCGAAAGCTTTTAGGAGCCACAAAAATGTTCCATAGAAAATAAGGGGACTGTGCTGCTAGTATAGACACGTATTTGTGTATAGACGCTAAGAACTGCTGGGTGCCAGGTGCACTGTCCAGCTTCAGGAGCCATCAACCGTGAATCCTGGAGACCCTGCTGCTCCGTGGTTAATATCTAAGATTCCTTGTTGTGGCTCCACTGAAGCATGATTTTCATTACTGTCACGTGGACTAGTGGGGGCTCTCTGACTAGCCAGTGCTCAAGAGCCACGCAGGTTGCTTACTCCAGACCCCACATCATGAGGCCAAGGCAAACTGTCACAAGGGCTCTCTCCCATCCTCCCAGCTGTAACTGACAGGCACATCCTGAAGGGTGGCCAATCTCCAAAGGCAGCTGTGCCCTCCGTGCCCTGGTCAGCCATGGAACACACTGTTGGCCTCTTGTGTCTGCCTGGCTGTCATAGTGCTCAGCAGAAGTGTAGATTCTATAGATTACATAATCTCAGTGTGCCTCCTCTTTTTTTAAAAAACTTTATGTCTCACACACAGAGTTCTGTATCTCTTTATTCTGTATCTCTTTAGAACAAAATGCCAGAGGCTGGGTATTTTATAAAATAGAGGGGTTTACTTGGTTTACAATTTTGGTGGCTGGGGGGTTCAAATAACATGGCAGTGACACCCTGGGAAGGACCCGCACCCAGGCCGTGACAGAATGTGGCAGAGACATGGAGAGGAAAGTGGCAGCTGCTCTCACAGCACTAATCCATTCCTTGAGAGCACCATCACTCCCTCCAGAGCATGGTAGTCCATGACCTAACAACCTTCTCCTGGGCCCAGCCTTGTGAAGGTTCCACTATCTCACCACCAGCCAGCTGAGGCCAGGATCACAGCACGTGAACCTCGGAGGACATACTGTTGAAGTTTTATCTCCACAAGCCTGCATTTGAAACCAAGGAAACCACTGCTAGGAGGACTTAAGGGATTTGTTTAGAGTGTAAAAGAATAAACGGGGGAAATGAGATGCTAATGTAAGTCTTTCTGATTCCCTAGACATTTCCTTCAAAGGGGCAGCAGAGCTGGGAAAGTTGCATTTCATGAAGGAATGTTTTGTTTTGTTTTTACTTCTTTTAAATATCAGAAGTTTTCAAAGATCTGAGAAAACCTAGGGACTATTGGCTTTTCCGCAGTAAAATGCACTGTACACACTCATACACACACCCCAGATTTTTGAATGTGGTATTAGAGTATATGAATGGTGGCCATGGTTGCAGACACATAAAACTTTTAATCCTCACTCACCCAATATCCTTTGCAGGCCAGCAGGGCTGTCTTCCGTCAGGTGACTCTGAGTGTAGGTTGCCTCCACTGTAAGATGTTATCTCCACTTCCAAGTCCCTGGCATGGCAAAAGAGAGACAGAGAAGCCACAGTCAATAGCCAGCATCGAGCAGATGACAGAACAAACCATCAAGCAGGTCAGTACAGCCATCCAGGCAAGACCAGTGGGACCACCCAGGGTATCCTAGACCTCCAGTGACTCAACTACGAGCCGATAAATGATGATTGTTGCAAGCTACTATACTTGTGGATTATTTATTATGCAGCAAAGCTAACAAATACAAAAATAGGATTCAGAAATGGAGTGCTACTCTAGCAAAATAACATGGGACACTGAGAAGTTGGAAAATCAATTATCAGAGTTGGAAAGACAGCAAACTGTTACTAGGTTTGTAGATCTGGGCTTATGAATCCCTAAATGTAGTTTAAAGGCTTAGAGGCATATGATCCATTTAGAAAGCCCTCTCACAGTCTGTGACAAGAGCTATAGCCCTTAGTAAGAGCAGCTGAGCCAGAGGAGTGGTAAGGTGTGATGCTTTTCCTAGATCTCAACCCTAGATCACAACCAGTGCTGACAAGCTTTAGAAGCAAAAGAAAGAATTTGAATTTTCAGAATTTGAAAAAGTAGAGTTAGGGGCTCGGGAAAAAACTTACATCTAGCCATATTATTTGCTACTGACCAGCTATGAAGCCATAACTGAGAGGCATGGAAAATGATCCCTAGTTTGTTGTTTTATTGTCCAGGTAAACAAGATGCTGGCTAGGAAGAAAGCTAAATTGCTAAAATCTATTCGTGAAAAATATGCATATTTGTATTTTGGCAGCCGGATGTGGACAGCACCCAAAAGCACCAGAAGCACTATAAAATCAAAATTCCAGGAGACCTTTTGAAACCTGAAATCAAAGAACCCCAACCAAGTCAATTGGAAAGGCTTTCTTGCCCAAATGACTTTAGCGTATAACCTAAACAGTGAGTCCCATTTGGCCAGGTGGCACATTTTCAGGGCAGAGGAAACAACAACCAAACTCTCAGAAGGAGAGCACAAGGTTTATTTGTGCAACTCCCCTTGCTGAGACGTACAGATCCTGCTGGAGTCCTGCAGGTGGAGTCTGTCCAAGGGGAACCCTATTGGCAAGAATCCGGCTTCTCTTAAATACATGCAGACATGGAGAGGACCAGAATATTCTTGGAACTCAAGGTTCTTCTTGTTTACAAATGATTAACTACCTCAGTTGATTGTGTCAAAGTTCAGGGCCACTGCACCCTTTGGGACAGTGCCTGTGATTGAGCTGATGACGGGAACACACATGGGTTGGTCTGGCAGCAGAGCTTGGGGAAGGTGTCTGCAACACAGTGAATGGAAAGGGACTGCTGTTCTCCATCCCCTTGCTGCTCTTTCTTTTTGGGGTCCAATCCAGCCTGGCTACTCTGGAACACAGCAGGGTGGAGAGAGAGTGAGTCTAGCATTTAGGAGCACTACTGGGTATAAGCCAGGAACAAGGTTGAGGGATTTACGCTTTATACATTCAGACCTCAAAACCCCGTATGTCGCTGGTATTAATGAGTTATTATCCCTGTTGTACAGGTGTGCAAACAGACTCTTAGAAACATTATGCAACTTGTTGAAAGGCAGCACATCCTTTCCCTGGCCCACCTCACACGTCCCATGTCACTTCTGCCCTCCAGGGTTCCGCCCCACCCCACAATACCAACAGCAACTGCACCAGTATCCACCATGAATCAGCCCACCACGGGCTGCCAATCCATTTTGTAATGCTGGGTTAGGCATTACATTAATGACTTTGTTGATGAAAATGAAGATCATTTTAGAGCCTCTGTGCTTTGCGTATCACTACTGTGTTAGCTGGGGACTGCTGTCCCACCGTGGTCCCTGTGGTCCTCCTCGCAGGCAGGTGGCGCTATCTTCAATTCTGAACCAGGACTGATTGTGAAAACAGGTCCACTTCTGATCACAGGCAATCACAGGCATTTCTAGAGTTTTTGAGATGAGCAGCTGCATAGATTATGATATTTTCCTTGAAGTCATTTTGATGGTGAGGGACAGCAGGCTAATCTGTGAAGTATGGAGAACAATAGACAGATGAGGTGGGCACGGTCACCTGGACTCAAATCAAACAAGCTTGACTCAGAAGACTTGAGTGCTGCCTGCCTTTGCGGTGGCCTTGAGTGTGGGAGAGATGACAAGCAGGTGGCACCAGTGTTTTACTGAGCTCCTCTTGGGGTGACGATCACTGGCTCTTCATCAACCCCAGCTAATATTAGAGAAGAATGTTATTTCTACCTGTACCAGTCATCTTTTCCACTTCATCTGCTGTCCAGGTCAGGGAAGCTGCCTCTATTTCCCTAAATATAATGAAATTCTTTTTTTTTTTTTTTTTTTTTTTTTTTTTTTTCATTTTTATGATACGGTATTTAGTCGGCATTTTTACATTCAGTGACTCATCTTGTTCTCCCAACTCTTAAGAGATGGGTTGGCACAGCCTCCCAATTATGATGTGAGGAGACAGAATCAGAGACACTCGGTAGAATATTAGTCACTTATAGAGAGAGCACATCGTATGTCCAGAGTGTTTGGAATGCTTCGATTTATGTAGCCTTTACAACAACCCTGTGAAGCAGATTCTATTTATATCCCTGCTTTACAGATAAGAAATCTGAGTCCCAGAGAGAAACAGTAATTTGCCAGAGGGCACATGGCTAATGAATTAAAATAGAATTTGAATTCAGGTAGATGGGCTCTAGAGCCCTTCTCAAAATTTCACAGCTGAAAAGAGTAAAACTGGGATTCAAACCTGGGCCCTTCAGACTCGAAATCCTGTGTTCTACTTAGATTAGCTACCTGTCTGAGTGCTCACCACGAACCTGTGCTGTGCGCTTTCCTTACACTAACTTGTTTAATCTTCATCATTTTGCAGGTGAGGAAATCGAGGCGTAGAAATTACTTGCCTGTGGTCCCCAATCTAAGGAGTGGCAGACCCACAGTTCTTACTGCCTCCCTAACAGCCTGGCCCCTCTGCTGCTAACCTGAGCCTTGTCCACAAGAACACAAACCACCCTGCTAGCTACAGCGTCTGCCACCCCCTTGCTGGCTGGCAGCGGCACAGTCTTGGGTCCATTTTCTGTCTGTGCAAAGTCCGCAGGAATTTCAGGCACTGGCGGCCTCCTGTTTGCTTTGCTGAGCTGTTTGCTCTGTGGGGACCAGACACCAATAGCCACACTTACTGTGCAGGGACCCTAGAGCTTCACTGGGCCTCCTGTCACCCAGGAGAATGAAGACAGGGGCATGGGCCAGGAGGTCTCTGGTAGAGCTGTTTCTCCTGTGCACTGCCCTGGGCTGCCTCAGTTTACCTGACTCCAGGTAAGTGCTGGTTACAAGCTGATCAGTCATGGGGCAGGGAGCAGAAAGCCACATAATGCCGCCTGGCTCTGTCACACACCTGAAGGGTGAGGGCTGTCTCTTGTGTGGAACCAAGTGGCTGGCTTTAGCGAAAGTTCCCTAAGGAACTGATATGTTTGGATGTGTTTTGTCATGCTGAGAAGACTCGCATATTGGTTCTGCATTCAAAACAAAGCCTAGGTCTAACTAAGCAAAAAAAAAAAAAAAAAAAAAAAAAAAGT